TGGAATTTATCGCTGCTTTACAGATTGGTAAAGTGTATACCAAAAATGGGGTATTGTGGGGCATATTATAGCAAGATTGGCAATGCCTCTCTGCCAAACATACCGACAGTGGAAAACAGGCTTCTCATAAGAACATAAGAGATGCCAATGTTGGATCAGGCCAAAGGCCCATCCCGTCCAACACTCTGTATCACACAGTGGCCAGAAATACCAGTGCCATCAGGAGGTCCACCAGTGGGGCCAGGACATTAGAAGCCCTCCCACTGTTGACCCCCCCAAGCACCAAGATGACAGAGCATCACTTGCCTCGGAGTCCCTATCTATACCTTGTGGCTAATAGTCACCGATGGACCTCTCCTCCATATGCTTATCTAATTCCCTTTTGAAGCCGTCCATGCTTGTAGCCGCCGCCACTTCCTGTGGCAGTGAATTCCAAGTGTTAATCACTCTTTGGGTGAAGAAGTACTTCCTTTTATCCGTTCTAACCCGAATGCTCAGCAATTTCATGGAGTGCCCACGAGTTCTTGTATTGTGAGAAAGGGAGAAAAGTATCTCTTTCTCTACCTGCTCGTTCCCATGCATAATCTTATAAACCTCAATCATGTCACCCCTCAGTCGTCATTTCTCCAAGCTAAAGAGCCCTAAGCGCCTTAACCTTTCCTCATAGGGAAAGTGTTCCAACCCTTTTATCATTCGAGTTGCCCTTTTCTGCACTTTTTCCAAAGCTATAATATCCTTTTTAAGGTGTGGTGACCAGAACTGCACACAGTATTCCAAATGAGGTCTCACCATTGATTTATATAGGGGCATTATGATATTGGCTGATCTGTTTACAATACCCTTCCTAATAATCCCCAGCATAGCATTGGCCTTCTTTATTGCAGTCACACACTGTCTCGACATTTTCAGTGAGTTATCTACTACAACTCCAAGATCTCTCTCTTGATCAGTCTCTGCCAGTTCAGACCCCATCAATGTGTATTTATATTTAGGATTTTTGGCTCCAATGTGCATCACCTTGCACTTGGCCACATTGAACCCCATTTGCCATGTTGACGCCCACTCGCCCATCCTTGACAGATCCCCTTGGAGTGCCTCACAATCCTCACTGGTTTTCACCACCCTGAACAACTTTGTATCATCCGCAAATTTAGCCACTTCACTGCTTACTCCCATCTCCAAATCATTAATGAACAAGTTAAAAAGCAGTGGACCAAGTACTGATCCCTGCGGTACCCCACTGCTTACCTCCCTCCACTGTGAAAATTGCCCATTTATACTTACTCTCTGTTTTCTATTAATTAGCCAGGTTTTGATCCATAAAAGGACTTGTCCTTTTATCCCATGATTTTTGAGCTTACTTAGGAGCCTTTGATAAGGAACTTTATCAAAAGCTTTCTGGAAGTCAAGGTAAACAATATCTATTGGATCCCCCTTGTCCACATGTTTGTTCACCCCCTCAAAGAACATTAACAGGTTAGTGAGACAAGATCTTCCCTTACAGAACCCATGCTGAGTCTGCCTCAATAGGTTTTGTTCATCTATGTGCCTACTAATTCTTTCCTTAATAATGCTTTCCACCAATTTACCCGGTATCGACATCAGACTGACTGGCCTGTAATTTCCCAGATCTCCTCTGGAACCCTTTTTAAAGATGGGAGTGACATTTGCTACCTTCCAGCCCTCAGGAATGGAGGCTGATTTTAAGGAAAGATTACATATTTTTGTCAGGAGATCCACAAGTTCACATTTGAGTTCTTTCAGAACTCTCGGATGTATGCCATCCGGGCCTGGTGATTTATCAGTTTTTGAGTTGTCTATCAGTTTTAGGACCTCAGTGAGTAATGTGATTGGGAAACAGGCCTCATTAACAAGAAGTGTGCCTAGGGCGTGGTTTAGAAGGCGTCTGTTTAAATCAAAGAGTTCATCCTACGTTTTTCCCTTACTGTGGAAGCTGAAACCATTTTTCTTTTTGGGAATGAAACACAGGGAGCTCATGCAAATGCTACTGTACTTTTAAGTCAAAATGTCTTCAGGCATTCTTATTCTTTCTGTTGCAGGCTTTGCGCCACAGACTAAGAGCCAAACTAGATGTGATGGGACCCTGTTGTCCGACACGGGGACACCACCACTATTTTAAAGCCTAAAATGTGCAATTTTAAAAACCTGCAATGTCCCAATTGAGTCTACAGCATGGTGGGCTAAGGCGCTCTTGTCCCCCACCACCACCACCGCCATGCCTTTTCAAGTGCCAAAACAGCTGGGGGGTGGGGGCTGCAGTCTTAAGAACACTTTCCTGGGAATAAGCCCCACTGATTTACTTCTGAGCAGAACTGTTTAGGATTCTCTCATAGTTCCTGGCATTATTACTATTTAGGATGGAGCAATTGTCCAAACTTAGGAGCTGCGGTGGCTCAAGTGGTTAAGACGCTGAACTGCAGGCTGTGGAAGGTCAGTAGTTCAGCGGTTCGAGACCCGGGTGCCGCATGATGGAGTGAGCTCCCATCTCTAGTTCCAGCTCCTGCCAACCTAGCAGTTCGAAAGCAAGAAATTGCAAGTAGATAAATAGGTACCACTTCAGTGGGAAGGTAACAGCGTTCCGTGCACCTTGGTGTTTAGTCATGACCACGGAAACGTCTTCGGACAGTGCTGGCTCTTCGGCTTTGAAACAGAGATGAGCACCGCAACCCTAGAGTCTGATTCGACTGGCTTTCGAGCAAGGGAACCTTTACCTTTACAGCAAGTTGAGCTGCAAATCTAAATAAACACATTGTTGATGCATAGCATAATTCATAATTAAAAAATAAAGATCAAAAAGAAAATGCCAATATATTTATGCTCATAATCCAAAGAATGTACAGTTTGAACAGACAGCAGTTGGGAGGAGGCAGGAGTTTAGCCCATCATTTTAACTTTCCAGCATTGTTTTCCTGTATTTAGCCTACTTACACACACACTACACTTACATATTCATGCTAACTAGAAATTCTCCTCTGTTCCTATGAATTCTTTTCACTGCTATCTCCCTTTTTCCAAAAGAGATGTTGAATAACTGGCTTTTGTGGGCCATTTCCATTATTAGTCAATATTATTTTTGCTTCTATGAGTTTACTTAATGCATTGATTGGAAAGCCCCCAGGTGGTTGTATTCCCACAGAATCTCAGCTGCAACATAGCAAATCAACAGCTGATGTAAATCTCTGAATGGGCTTCATGCATGCACAGAGCTTCCATAACATATTGATTAGGATCCTGTTCAGTGAAATACATATGGCAAGGAGGGCTATTGCACGTAGAGTTCTTTAAATGCATCAGAGCCTACATATCCACAAATAAATGTTGGTTTTGGGGTACTTCCATGTTTAAATATAGGCAGATCCTATACTCCAAAAGCTGTTAAATATCATTAATATCTCAATTAACAAATGGTAACCTTGAAAAAGTATGAACAATTAATGTCAAATGCATACACAAACTATGATAACCGCAGACCTAATAAGATATTATTTTGTATCCTGCACTTTATTGATAACAGGTTAGGTTAGTGATAAATCATGGCTCGAGCAGTTAAATTGCTTGCCACCCAGATCTAAAAACAGCAACCAGGAATTCTAAAATAATTTTTAAGATTATCTATTAGCTGCTGCACTACCACTGCTTCCCTCTATTTACTATTTATTGAAAGGTTTTATAAGTCTGTCTTTCTGCCACACAATAAATATAAGACAGTTAAACTTAAAAAAAAAAAAAAAAAAACACCATCAAAATAAAACCAGAAAAGTAAATGCCAACTAGGGCTACTAGCAATATTCTACAAGTGATGTACTTTTGCTGTCAGAAAAAATGTTGAGTTTTTCATACTAAAGGTAGCCAGTTGTAGAATTTTCAGTGGCAATCTGCTATTTAAGCAAGATCTCTGGTTTTCTTGCTGGCTGTGTGGTATTATGACTGGAACAGAATGGCAAGTTTTATACAGATTACAAATCCTTTTATAGTTTATCAATCATACAAACGGGAATCCACAAGGACTTGCAGGGGCCTCTCATCCCCTTTTCCACTTCCTTGAAAGCTCCCATACTTTCTCCCCTTTTCCTGCCTCCTTCACACTCACCAGGCAACCTACCTCTCTTCTCCCCCCCCCCCCCCCAAATCTTCAGTTTTCTTTCCTTCTCTGCCCCTGGCAGCCTCTACTCAGGAAAACTATGGCCCATTTCCAAAGTGGGGAACCTGGAAGGACTTGTGAGGGCACTACATTTCCCTCTGTATCGCCTTCCCTTTTTCCCTCCTGGAAAGCCCCAGATCCTTCCCCTGCCTCATTTGCTCTCAGCCATTCACCAACCTACCTTTTATCTGCCTTCCATCTTCAGCTACATTTATTATTTCATTTATACCTTGCTTTTCTCCAAAGTGGGGGCCAAAGCAGCTTACATCATTCTTCTCTCCTCCTTTTTATCTTCATGTAACTGGCCCAAAGTCACCTAGTGAACTTCCATGGCAGACTAGTAGTTTGAACCTGGGTCTCCCAGATCTTAGTTTGAGGCTCTTACTGGCTTTCATAGGGTGGCTTTTGACCAGTATCAAGCAGCCAGGCTTAGCTGGTGCATACAAGTCACCCGGTGGTTGCTGCTGGGGCTGGCCCAAATGAGCCTTCCCTGGAAGGGCCCTACCTCCTTCAACCCACCTTTTAGTGACAGAAAATAAGCCTGGAACACTGGCAAAACTGTTGTAGTTGCCTGGTCAAAGCCACTGAGGGCATGTTTCTTAAAGCTACAATGTATAAGAAAATATGGGGGGGGGGGAAATACTGCTTGAACTTAAGAAACAGCAGGTGAGCCACAGTTCAAGAAGAAAAACAAAGTACACATTGCTTCACATTAATTATCCAGGCTGCTACACTACTACTCTTGGGGCATTCAAGAGGAAACTCCCTGTAGAGGGTGTTTTGTGTGTGTGTGGCCTCATACTTTAACACTGAATTTATTCTACATTTTCTGCTACAGGAGACGAGTATGATGTTTGTGCCATTTGTCTGGACGAATATGAGGATGGGGATAAGCTCAGAATCCTTCCCTGCTCTCATGGTAAGGTAACTGCAAGTTAGGCTTGGTGTTAGTAACACAAAACCGGTCAAAACTGCATTTTTGGTAGCAAGAATTGCCTTTTTGAGGGATCTCTGACACAGTTTATTGTGACTTCTGAACCACATAGACCATTTCTTTTCCTTGTCAAAGTTCGTAGTCTTAAGAGAATCAGCTATCTGTTAATTCATGTGTTAATGGAGATCCCAAGGTATGGCCTGAATGCACATGACACATAGTCAAAGTGGGTATGATCACACCAAGGAATTCCATGTACATTGCCATTACTTCTGTGATGAAATTAAGGCAGGATATAAGTGTACATGATGTTCTATATAAACAGGTCACTAATACTAAATTGTGTGTTTTGTTGTTCAGCTAAGTTTCAGGGTATAAAGAGCCACATTGTTTGGTATTGACTCCAGTAATGATGCTTTTAAGCCACAATACTCAGAATTTCATTCCTTGGAGGAAACTGCTGTGGTTAGGACACATTCAGGGGCAAATACAAAACAGTTTACCATACCTTCCCCATAACCCCAGCCTCATAGGAGAGTTTCTAATATTTTTTTGAAGAGGCAGATCATTGTTTGTCAAGCTCAGCAACAGCAGTAAAATTCAACCCCATAGGTAATTTGCCTAATATTTACACTTTAACCTCAGTGATAAGGAACTTGCTCCTCACTTAAGGCCCCACCCCAACCTATAGGACTACATTTTACAGCTTTACGACATTCTCCTATTGTTCTCCTGCCTCTCCTGCTGACTGTCCTTCCATGGACTCAGTGACTGTCTTTCAGCCAGCCTAAAGTTAATATACACTTAAATTTGAAAAAGGCACTTTTTCTAAGATTGTATCACTGCTAAATGCAGGAGTGAAGCATGCATATATATGGGCCAACTTGACTACGTTCAGTTGTTTAAAAAGCCACCCTAATGAAAAACTGGCATAGCAGGAAGGTTGGTAGCTAATTCATAGAAGACTGTAGCCAAATTCAACTTCCTTTTATAAAAGCTGTATAGTGAACAGCCTGCATTTGGAAATGGTCACAGCAGAACTGTACCAGAACATAGAGCTCCTCTTGGAGCCAAACTTGTTGCATATTTCAGTGCAGAACTGTACTTGCAGGGGCCGTTGCATATAAGGCAAGTAACTTGCTGCCTGTGCCTAACTCTGTTCTCTTAGACTGGCAGGTATGTTGTTAACACCTGTGAATCCTAAACAGATTCGCGGGTTCGGCTGGTGGGGTGTTTTTGTTTTGTATAGCACTTACTTTGAGGCACCATCATGTAATGAAGCGATTCCTGATCTCTGCCAGCCCTTGAAAACACAGGAGCAGGCAGGGGCCCTATGTTTTTAAATTTTATACCTTTTGGATGAAGTCTGGTTATTCTCTGTGCATAGTACTTAGCATGCATATTTCACCATAAAGTACTGCAATGTAATTAAAACTCACAGCCACTCCCCTCTCATCTGTTTATGAAGGTAAATGCCTGTTTTCATTTTTCTGACAGCATATCACTGCAAGTGTGTGGATCCCTGGCTGACTAAAACCAAGAAAACATGCCCTGTGTGTAAGCAAAAAGTGGTCCCTTCTCAGGGGGATTCGGACTCTGAAGCAGACAGCAGTCAGGAAGAAAATGAAGTCTCTGAGAATACTCCTTTGCTTAGGCCACTGGCTTCGGTCAGCACTCAGTCTTTCGGGGCACTGTCTGAGTCTTACACCAATCCAAACATGACAGAGTCTTCAGACTACGAGGACGATGAGGAGGAGGAAGATATTGACAGTAGCGATGCCGAGAATGGAGCAACAGAAGAGAGTGTGGTAGTCCAGCTTCAGCCCAATGCTGAACGAGATTACAAAGTGGCAAATACTGTTTGAACTTCAGGACTGCAAAGAAAAGTGTTACATGAACTCCTCTGGCCAGAGAACTCTCCTTTATGTATGCATACATAGGGGAAGCATTGTGACCCTCCAGTTGCTTCAGTGTAAGCAGCTGTTCATATAGTGTTCTGTATAGTTTAATCGCATTGCAGGTTCTCCTTTTTTGTTTTGTTCATATTTGTCTTTTGAGGACAAGCATTTTAACTGGACTTCACAAACAGCCATGAGTAACAAGCGCTCCAACACGGCTACCCACCTGGATCTAACAAGCACTTCAGTCACTGCAGGTAATGCACACAAACAGAGATGCTACTTCAGTTGTCAGCATCTGTTTGAAATGGAGTTATGCCAAGGTAAATATTTCCCCCCTACATATAGTCTGTAGCAAATAGGTATGTCTGTGAGAACTTTTCACAGAAAAGCCAACATTACACAACCAAGATTGGCCCTCTTTAGTATTCAATCATGATCATTTTCAGCGGATGAGAACAAGACCTTTGATCTCCACTGAAGCAGCTTTTCCAGTCATCTCACTGTGCAGTACAAGGTTGTAAAATTCAAACTTAATTTTTTTTCCAAAAAATGTTTAGGCCTTAATCAGAACAATGTATTCACACACCACTGACATCAACTCAGCTAGTCCCCCCCCCCAATGAAACAGGTGGGGGACAAACTGAAAGGCAACTCCCATGTCAAACCACATATAGAAAACTGAGTCGTATTGTGTGCTCTTTTCACAAATCATATACCTCTTTATAAGGAGCATGTGATGATGCATTAGTCTGCTAAAACTATGCACATAGAGAATCAGACCAAGTACTGGGTTTGAAAATGAGTGCTTATAAATATCTAACAGGATTCTACTTACAGTGTATCATGAAAAGATTAAATTATATACAGTTGTAACTATGTAGAAAGTAACCACACTACTGTATAATCAAACTGCAAACATTTTTTATATGGTCTTGTATAGGGAAGTTTGAAAGAATGTTAATAAACTTGTTTTCCACTTTAGCAGCCATTTTATGTGACTCCCTTACATCACTGAAATGTAGAGAAATATTTCAGAATGCACAAGGGCTGAGGGATGTTTGGACAGGTTCAAATAGGAGGAGCACACATTTAACAAATTAGTACTCCTGGCATTCAGGGGGAAGTCATCTAGCTACTAAGCACTTGGCAGCTTCAATTGGCTGTTGCTTCAGCACCTTTTGGCTCAAAATTAGCCACTTCATTCTAACAGTGATGTCACTTGGTTAAATCAGATTGCCTGCATGATGAACTCAGTGAAAATAGCCCTCCCTACTAAGAAAGTATCATATAAGCTACAGCCAACTGCAGCAAACCACTGTGGAAGTATTATGCTTGGGGGGTCTTTGTTGGACCATTTTTGGCTAGCTAGAAACTCTTTTGTACCTAAGCTTTCAAAATATTTTGTTGTACTCTACCAGCAGTTTGAACATAACACAAGCTTAAAATCATAATACAGGAAAAAAAATACTACAGGGCATAATCAGATTTGACTGGACAAATTCACAGAGGATTGATAGCTCAACAGCTTTTCCATAATGGCTAAACAAAACCGTGCTCGGAGGCAGTCTCTCTGGGGACAAGAGCTTGCAAGGACAGGCAGTTGCCTTCTATGCCTTGCCTGTGGGCCTTCCTGGAGTCAACCGGTTGGGCATTGTCGAAGAAACAGAAGAGGAGGGAAAAGACTGGATTTATACCCCACCCCTTCACTACCCGAAGGAGTCTCAGAGTGGCTTACAATCCCTTTCCCTTCACCTCCCTACAACACACCCTGTGAGGTAGGTGGGGTTGAGAGCTCTCTCAGGAACTGCCCTTGAGAGAACAGCTCTGAAAGAACTTCTGACTGACCCAAGGTCACACCAGTAGCTGCTTGTGGAGGAGTGGGGAATCAAACCCGGTTCTCCCAGATTAGAGTCCACGCTCTTAACCACTACACCAAACAGGATACTGAACTTTTGCCCTGATCTATCAGGGCTGCTTCTATGTTCTTAGAAAGAATCTCCTGTGAAACCACCTGAAACAGAAGCCATGTTCTGTTGGTTGTACACGAATTCCTAACCGATCCTGCTTTTCACATGCAATACCTAAAGAAACCCCCCAATTCTAAATTGTGGTCCCTGCCACACGGGGGGGGGGGGAAGCGCAGGCAAAGTGTGGCTTTTGAAAGCTGCACCAAAATAGACATGCGGTGGCGGGATCATACACATCCTGTGAGCCGCTGTGCAGTTGCTCCCCGGCACGATCGGAGACCAGGGAGAAAGTGACGAGACAAGAGATGGAGGCTGCCGAACTGCGCACGTGTGAGCATGCGCAGTTCGGCCAGGAGTCTTGTATGCACCGGCAGAAGGACGCGCCGGCGATCCCACGGCCGCGCTTGATGCGGCTGTGCTGGTAAGTCCACCTCTGTAGGTGGTTTATTTTAGATGCAGCTTTTCGGCCTGAAGGGCCGGATCAGGGACGGGTGCGCAACGTTTCCCAGATGTTGCGGTGGGATCGCGCCCGTTTGCTGCGCCCCCGATCCATCCCTCTCCCGGCCCAAAACCTTTCGTGTGACCGGGGTCTGTGCTCTAGTTTCCATGTTAGGTTTTGCACACAAGTAGGCCTATATCAACTAATGCTTCAGCATAAATGACCTACTACTACTACTACTATCCCAGCCTCAACATGAATGAAAATGCTGTTGTGATATCTGAGGAAAGGTTACATCTACAGGAAGAATCGGACAGAGTGTGTTTGTGTGAAGTGAGTCAATACTAATTACATCAAATCCTCTTTCCCCATTATCATCTGTTCACATAGCTAGTCCTCACAAAAGGAAGAACATGCATTATCACTGCCAAAAAGACATAAAACCCTTTTACTCCACAGTATCTCTACTGAAGTTACTGGAGCACTGCTTAAATAAGTCTGTAAATTTACAGCTGATTCCCTTTTTAGGGTTTCAGTGCCAGTTCTTCAGTAATGCACCTTTTGTTGGACAGTAGCCTGTCAATATCAGAATGGTTCCAAATTAAGGTAAACAAGCGCTTTGCAAGTGTCAAAATTCATGTCTTTTACAGTAGATCTGTTAAGGAGCAGGACTTTTTCTTCACTGTAAATAATATGAAGCCCTTACACCTAGATAGCCCAGGCTAGCCCAATCTCACCAGATCTTGGAAGCCTAAGCCCTGGTTAGTGTTTGGATGCAAGACCACCAAGGAAATCCAGGGTTGCAACACAGAGGCAGGCGATGGCAAACCACCTCTGAACATCTCTTGCCTTGAAATCCCCATGGGGTTGCCGTAAGTCAGCTGTGACTTGATGGGAAACAACAGCTGGAGATGCTTTAATCTGAATCACTTCGCTGTGCCACATTGGGGGGGGGGGGTAAATGTGGAGAGTCATCCAAATGGTTGCATGTGCTTTGTCATGCCATGCAAACCACAACTACTTATCTGAAGAGCATGGCCATCATTGAGTTGAGGATGATAACTTCTTTAGGGTTGGGAGCTGCTCTCACTGGCCAAGTTCACTGCAAGCTAGAAGGCCCTGCCAGCTGCTTAGCTGACCAAGAGTGTTGGGATTACCAGACTGTCTTTGGTGGGCATCTTCATGCAGCTGGCCCTCCAACTGAGAGCAGAAGATCGCTTCAGACCCGATCACTAGATAAGCATATCTGACAATATGTATGTTAGAATCAATCTGCTTTAGCACTCTAAAGGTATGCAGATATATATACTTTTAAAAAATCTTTGGAAAATGTTTTAAGTAGCCGATTTATGTATCAGTTACATTAAATGGTGCTAACACACTTGCCACAGAGGACATTGCCTGCTGTTGGAACCAAGAGATTTTGAGGGAGGTTCCGTATAGCACATCAGCTGACATCCCAGAAGGAACCAGAAATGCATTCTACCAGCTGTGTCTGCTGATAGACAAGAACTAGGGCACAGGGGCTTTCCATTTTTATACTGGGTGGGCCTCTGCAAATATGTACATCACAAGCAGCTACAAAAGGGTGGGGGGGAAACACAGCAAAGATTCATGGTAGAGAATAGTAACAGCCCTTAAGAACCACCTCTGCACAGTAGCCAGCACAGTTAACATCATGCGTTAAAAGTGTCTCAAACAGTTGTGGTACAAACTAAGAAATATTACACAGCCTGCATAAAACCATTTTAAGCTAAGATGGAATAGCAACACTGTAGGAAAGCTAGGTATGAACGGATGGAAACAAGCAAGTGAAGATGTTTGGGGGGGGGGGCACAAATGAGCTCAAGAGCTGGGCCATAAGGTTTAATGGCGGACAGAAGGGGCTATTTTGCAAGACGAGAGCACAGTGAGCTCAAGGATCCTATACATGAATCAGCTGAAGTAAACACTGAAGTCACAAGGGGACTACAAGCTTAGTTCACCAAACCTAACAGCAATGTTCAAATGAAGCACCATGGCTAACCAGAAAGCCCTGCAGTTGTAGTCTTGCCAAAATATGCGAGGGGGATGGAACAGTACTAATAAGCAGCACAGACCCACAGATCAAGCATGGTGAAATAAAGCTGAGAGGACACCTATTTCCCATAGAACATTAAAAACCAGTTGAAAGCAGAACATACCAGACAAAGAGAAATTCTAAGTTTGATGCTGTGGCTATACATTCAGCTCCTCAGAGATTTAGAATAGCCATGATAACTGTGAAAGCAACTTTAGGCCTAACTCACCTTTGTGGATGTACAAGAAAGACTCAATGGAAGTCAGATGGAGTGTCTGTTCTCATCCTTCCTGTGTGTCTCCTGCTCTAACTCCAGACTCCTGGCATTCTCTTTGCCATAATAATGAACATGCACATTTCATGGCCTGTTGAAGAGCTTTTGTCTTGCATGTAATCCCCTTTCCCTAGCTCATTCTTCTCCTAGGCATACATGTTCTTTACTCTTGCACATCAGGATTGTAGTCATGTCCTGGGATGGGGAAAATAGTCCATTAGGCATATTTTAGGCATCTTTCCTGAATATTCCGGTTTCCTTTTTCTAGAAAAAGGGGAAAGTTTTCTAACATTTTTAAATGACCAGGAAAAAGTGGAGCAGGTAGTATTCTAATCCATTGTTCAATAAATAGAAAATCTGCTCTTTTCTGGCTAATGAGTTCAAAGGCACTAGGGTGACTGACAAACATGCTACATTAGAGCCTATATTTCTTACGCTTCAAATGTTTTAACTGGTCTGCACTGCCCCCGCCCCCTCATACTTCACATTCCTCCCAGCACTCTAATAGGTCTTGCATACAAAGTTGTTCAAACTTTTTTCTCTCTCAGTTTGATCAGTCATAACCAGACCCCATCAGCAGAAAAAAAGGATCAACTGTCCTTTTCACATTATTGCTTCACAAACTGTAAATCTGGTTACCTCTGCCATACCCTGCCAGCATGGGAGGTGTCTCTAGATGGAGGCATTAAAGGATGCACATGCAGTGGCCTGTACGGAGACCCTCCCTCACCCTGTCACCAACTGTGCATTAATGGCTTCCTTTCCCCATTGTCCACCCAGCATTCATAAGATATGTTTTGTCAGCTGGTTGGGAAGAAACAAGCACCAAACACTTGCATATTCCACAGCATTTAGTTTCTAGACTTGTACCATGCTCCGCTTTCTCTGGTCCAAATGGGTTTTTGGAAGAACATCAGGATGGACTCTTTTAATCAGCATTTCACCATCCCCCAAACCAACATGTTTTCATCTGCACAGTCCACAGATATTCAAGCAAGCTTAAAGAAGTGGCCATTCACAGAATAAAGTGTCTCCTTAATTCTGCACAACAGCTGGTCAAAAGAGGCCAAGAGCAGTGTTCCCTCTAAGCTGAGTTAGTGTGAGCTAGCTCAGTTTTTTGGCCTCCAGCTCACACATTTTTGTCTTGGCTCAGGAGGGATGGCTCCAGAGCAAACTCATTTATGCGGTAGCCAAATCGCTCGCTCACAACTTTAATGCCAGTAGCTCATAAAGTAGAATTTTTGCTCACAAGACTCCACAACCTAGAGGGAGCATTGGCCAAGAGTGCTATGAAATTTATCCTTTGTTCCAAAAGGACACCAGAACATACACTATAAATAAGCTTAAATAATGAGCACTGGCCAAGACTGTACATCACAGGAATAAACAACCCATAGGACATGCTCTGAACAGCAGCATGCCAGACCATTCAGCTTGTCACAAAGGACCAGTTCTCTGCCCAGGTGACAAGAAGTGAGTCCCTGAGGCACTGACCGCACCACTAAAACTTTGTTTATGCCCACTACATCTGGGCAAACACAACCTGGTCTCTACCTCCACCCCTCATTGCAAGGTCACCAACATCTTCACAGAGAGATGCTACATTTTTGGCCCCTTGGTCTAAAAAGGTTGTTTACCTTGGTATAAAGCAATACAAAATACAAACTGTCATTCTTGCTCCTCCTTTAGACCCCTACATATTTCTAAGTGTGTCAGTGCTGCATAGAATGTCCCATGCCCCTTGTTAGAATGTAACAGATTGTATACCTTTTATTTCACCGATCACAATGAAAGCCGGGAGTGAATGTACACATAGGCCAAGCCACTGTGAATGTCCAAAAACCAACTGAGTTACAGGACTTGAAGGTATTTACTACCTTTAGTAATTATGCCATAAAAAGGCACCTTAAAGAATCTGCTAAAATACAACATTGACTTAACTATAGTAATGTAGACTGACTGTCTCAAGTTCTCTTTAACAAAAAGACCAATTAAAAAAACTGAGGGCAACCAAGCTGTAGCGAGAGATGTCAGACACCAGGGTGCTTTATTCACACCTTGTCATACTAGAAAAGAAGATTCAACTGGAGTCAGCTCAGCAGCCACTGGGTGAACCATCCCACAGTGACACGAATGGTTAACATTGGTATGGCACAGTCTATGTGCCAAAAGGTATAGTTAATCAGATTGCACACCAACGAGAATATACTTAAAAGAGAACAGGATTAGCATGCAATTGGACTTCCAGTTTATGGCAACACGCAGGCAGACGCATCTCCCGGACGCTCCGGGGATGCAAACTGCACACCAGCATGTAGGAGGGGGTGCGAGGGGTCACGACCCCCCCGGAGTCTTGGTAAAAGGCTCCTAGCCAGGGGACTTTTGAGAGGCGACCTCTTCGATGGCGTGATGCCGGAGAATTGAGGCGCTCCTCCGCCCCGAAGGTCCTGCCGCTGAGTGACCACATGGTACGAGTGCTGCTGACTGGGACAAGCGTTGGAGATCGGGCGAAAACCCCCCGATGCCGAGCGAGGCCAGTTGGCCAACAACGAACTGTGAGTTGGGTTGAAGCGAGCATGAAGATTTAAAAAGAAAGCTGCTCCCCCTTAAAGAGCGACGGGAAAGCGAGCGGGGGAGGGTTTCCTCTCAAACGCATAGACGAAACATGGTCAAAAAGAGGGGGGGGAGCGCGGAAAAATAAGCGTTTAAATCTGTTTTAAGAGACTTACCAGAGCGCAGATAAGCGTTTGGGTGAATACCAGAGACTTTAGCAACTTTTTGAAAAGTAAACAAATCCAAAAAGATGGCGTGGAAGAAACCGGAGAAAGAAAAGCTGTTGAAACCGAAACTAGTGGGTAGTCCTCGAACGGAAGAGGCTACTGAGCTCTCAAAACTGTTGGCTGATTCCTTGTGCCCTCTGCTGGATGAGATGACTAATATCAAGCAACAACTGTCAACAATTGGTCAGAGCTTGGCTTCACAGCAGATACAATTGACTCAATCTTTAAAAGCAACGGAGCAAATGGGAGAAAAGGTGAAGGAAATGGACGCCAATAGTAAAAAAATTAAGAAAATGGTGCAAAAGCTGGAAATGAAGCAAGCCACGGAAGAGTCAAAACTTTTACAGCTGCAAATGGAAAAAGCATATTTGGTCCTACGGTTTCAAGGGGTCCTGGAAATTAGAGGGGAGAATCTGAAGCACCGGTTGAGTGAAGCAATAGCCCCAATGACAGATTGGACAGCGGAATACCTTCAAAGTGAGATGAATGTGGTCTATAGGTCCTATTCCTCATACATCAAGAAAAATAAGCTGCCTGGGGAAATAGTAGTCAGATTCTCGAAGAGACATGTGAGAGATGCTATCTTGAAAGCAACTATGGGAACACCCTTGAAAATTGGGGACAACAACATCAGGATTTTAAAAGACATTCCGTTTGACATAAGACAGAAGAGAAAGAACTATAAAGACTTAATCCTTTTCTTACAAACAAATGGCATCAGTTACAGATGGCTAATTCCAGAAGGCATCATTTTCAAACTCCGCGATAAAAAAGAAAAGATTGACCCTGTTTTCAAAGCACGTGATTTTCTGCGAACACAGCTTGGGGAACCAGCTGAGGACAAAAAGGAAGAAGAAGAAAGCAAATCTGATGGCGAGTTAGGCTCGGTGTCTTCGGACGAGGACTCCACTTCTGAAATGGGGGCGGCTGCCCCCAAAAGTTCATATAAACGGAGGATTAGAAAATATAAGAATAAATAAGGGCTGAAGGACCCTGATTTGTGCCTGAAAAAATGCTGAAATAACTTTGGGATGCTCTGGGGATTTATTTAAACAGTTAAAGGGATGGTTAAACGATAATTAATCTAGCATAACCGACTATGTTCATTGCGTTATTAGCTTTTTAAAATAGCATTGTGACAAGCTGATGTATTGATCTCCTACTCTTGGGTTTTTAGTTAGTAGTGGGTCTTTTTTCTTTCTCCTTAGATGTAGTCCCCCTCCCTATATTTTCAGTTATAGTTTGTAGTCTGCAAAAAACCCCAATAAAAACCTCCCCTTAGGGGGATTTAAAAAAAAGGATTAGCATGCAATCACTGAATATATCTACAAGATATGCCAGAGTACACATATTACCTAAAGCTCAACAGCAACTTTCACACAAGGGCAGATTATTTTTTTTTAAGGAAGTGGAGAAAAAGTATCTTGAGAAGACGGGCATTTGGGACAGAAGGGAGGACAACGGTATTTCACATGTGGTTGCTTATGCCTAGACTCCTCCTCGCCATCTGAGTGTGAGCAATAACTACAAAATACAGCTTTTTAAAAGAGGGTAAGGCTTATTTTTTAAAGGCATGTCTGATTTTCTAAGGCCATTCAAAAATGGTCCAAGATGCACCAACTTTGACAATCTAAATTTAAGATCTTATGAAGCAGGTCTTGACATCAGTAGAGCTGGGATATACAGTCTATAGTGGTTCCCATAATGCACGTAAGCCCTGTGATGTCTTGGCCTGGACAGGAATATAAGCAACAAGAATTATAAATCAGGAGGAGGAGAGCTACTAAGAAGATCAAACAGTATTACAGTCTGTCTGTTATTAGGTAAAGCTACCAACATCTGCAACCATCTTCAGAGTTGCTGTTATTAAGCATAGCTGCAGTTGGAAAAATTCACACATAACTCTTGACAGCCTCACAGGTCTTAGGCTGCAATGGAAAATGAGCTCCACTGGCAAATTTATAACCACTTTGGTGGTAATGAGAAAAGTATTTCATAAATGTCTGTTTATTTAAAGCAAGCACAGTCAGGCACTAAGGATGCCTCTAAGCAGCTTTTGGGGAGCAGAAAAAGAAAATTTTACTTGGAAAGACTAGCAGGCTTTACATACATACAAGAAACTAGCACACTTGTCAGCACAGAGATAAAGATAAAGCTGCAGTTTTGGAAAGGAGTAAATATAGATTTACAGAGGAGGTACTGGGAGGCAACAAGATCTTCACAGTCAACTGTTCAGTCTCAAGCCAGTCTCCACTGCAACCAGTAGTCAACAAATCTAAAAACTTTACTACCCTCCCATCTAACCCAGAAGATAGCCTTCAGTTCAACTATTCATGCATGCATTAGCTTTGTGTTCCAATTTCCAGGTCAAAAAGAAAACTCACTAGCAGGAAATTCAAACTTGTGCCCTGTAAGGACAAGAATAGTAGCTGTGCAAGTGACTGTTCACAAAGAAAAGCAATGCTACAGAAATAACCCTGCTTCAGACAGCCTTTTCATGTAGTCGCAGATATTATTTAACCTGAGTATACCATCCAGATATCCAGAAGACTTAGAACTAGATTATGTTATTACTGAAATCTAGTGAGTCTGTTTCACAGTCCCAGTAGTAACTTTTATTACATTAAAGGCTACTAAAGACTTGATCCAGAGTGGCTATATTATAATCAGTGGGCTGCTGCAAGGTTATATATGGCAAACCACAGAACAAGATAGCACTACAATGCTACCAATGCAGACAAAAATCACTACAAGGTTAACTATAAGTTTTCTAGAAGGGCTGGGGGGAGCAAATCACAAAAACACACTCACTCTTAATTTCATTTGGTTGGAATAAATTTATTTCATCTGTCTGTAAACAAGGTGTTTAATAGTTATGGCATTTTTTGAAATGCATATTAAATCAGATGAGTTAGACTGTATCCCAGATGTAACAAAGTGCAGGGGAAGAAATGGACAAATCAGCAACAAGAATTTGTTTTAAGTCTGTACATTATCCACAAGGCCCAAACAATAGAAGCAAATACTAGAGTGTCCCTAAAGTAGTGCCATTCAGAAGAAACCGTTCTTGTCAGTTAAAATCCATCTCACAATAGCAACAGTTCCATTGTTTTGTTTTTAAACATTAGTATGGCACAGAATACATATTAAAAATTCATCACAAGACAGCCAACTCAGTTATTCCAACCAAGACCATCTCCCATTTTCTCTTTTGTATACAGAGTTCTGCAGTTCTCTCTTAAATGGACATACAAGTTAGTACCGTGCTCAAACTGACAATTTGGTTACACATGTTTTAAATAACTAGTGCACAAGGCAGGTTACTCCACAATTTCTGCAGCAAGGGCATGACAGGCCAAATGACAATTAGATCTGAAATGGTATCCGTTTGGACCATTTTATTTTACAGCTACCAGCCCTCAAAACACACATTGGTATCAGAGCAGCAAGTCTTATTTACCAGTTAATGATCTGCCAGACTGAAGTCTGTCTAGCCTACCAGTATATAGCTGAAGGTGGTAGTTTTTCTACAATGACACTGCAGTTTCATATAAAAACCCCCACGCTGCAAATCAAAATTGGTCCTATGAAAAACTGAAACCGGACACACTCCAGATGGTTACACTGGGATATCTAAAGTCCATGATGGCAGCCTTTTTTTAATACAGTTCAACTACAGAACAGGAGCTGGCAAAAAAAAGTTACGTGCCTGAGCTATTGCAGTGATGGAATGTCCCTGGGGATTCATTCAAGATGGTGATGGTGGTGGTAAGGTGAGGGGAGAAATGCATCGGCACCTTTCATAGTTTTGCAGTTACCCTTGTAAAAAGCAGGATGTGCTTCAGACACCATGAAGAGTTTTGCAAATCTACACAGAAGAGCAACAACAAAACTAGAGCAACACTTTTAAACAGCTTTCAAGCGGCAAATTGGTTAAACAAACCAGGCACTGTATTAAAAAAAATATGTATATATATATATATATATTTATAGATGAAGCAAACAAAAAAAAAGTAGATGAAAGATGAGGACAAGGGGGGAAGAAAGTAGAGATATGCATGCACTTTTCCCCCTCCCAACCATGCTCTACAGAAGGAAGACTAATGAGCTGTGTAAATGCTCAAAGTGCTGAAGAGGCATTGATCAATCTGGATTGTACAATCTGCACCTTATTTAGTTTTTTAATTGGTTTAGTTCTTAATGTCACTTTAATTGCTAAGACAAAGCAAAGCCTGGACTTGACATGATTCCCCTTCCAAGGCTTCAACGTATCATGCATATCATCTGTGTTGCAATAATGGTGCCAGATACAGAATATGGGTACAACAGTGATTAACATACAAACAAAAAAAAGGGTAACTGGAGCCATGACATTAGGGAAAAGATGTGTAAATAAACCACCATCTACATTCTGGTAGCATTGTGAACACAACAGGGTGGTGATGAAGACAGTTGCTATGTGGATGGGGAGAGGCTGCTTAGACATCAGACCTCCTCAGGTATAAAGCCAGTTCATATGCTTTCTTGTTGAGTGTCCCTCCATGGACACCTTCCTTTCCCATGACCATAACCAATGCTGGAGTACACAAGGAAACAAGGATGAACATAATTAAAGAAAGAGTAACACCTTTCCCCACCAACAGAGGGATACAAAGGAGACACAGGTTCATACCCCATCACCCTGCATTGCTAATAAAGTTTCCACAATGTAGCTTGCTGCCAGGAAAGTTTAATAGCAATTTTTCCCTAATACTTAACAGTCTGCCTAGCAACTAGAACCCAGAGTCTCTCAAGTATTTTGCCATTGAGTATGCCTTCTTATTCAATCCGCCTCCATGGACCCCTTCTTTGCCCATTACAAAGACCAAGACTGAAAGAGAAAAGAAAAAGAAGTTTTAAAAAGGGGTGTGTTAGACAAGGACCTATTCAACCTTTTAATAAAGCAGTGCAACAAGCATATTCAAATATAGCATACTAGAACAATGATCAAGACAGTGTTACTGCCTTGTTTTAAACAGCCTTTGTTTAAGTGGAGGCTTTTATACAAACAAGTGTTTGGCAAACAAAACAGCCATTAGTTTAATAGGATGAAGCTTTTTAGTAAGCATCATGGAGTATATTATGGGCCAGGAAAAAACCTCTGTGATTGTATCTAGCAAGATGAATAAAGCAAAGATGGCAGCTCATGTTCTAGTACAGTCTTTAGAGATGCAATGCACCCATTACATCAGCTTTACCTGATCCAATATTTTTATGTCAATCAAGAATTATTAGTATAAAAATAACCCAAATGTATTTTTAGGCCAGGATAAGCAGTGTCCTGAAGACCTTTACTAAAACATTCACCTGCACCTACAGTAATAAGCCAGCAGGTGTCACTAAGATATATTTTTGTTCTGCTCTGAAGACAATATTATGTTCTCACCATATATTAGTACCTATTTGTAGATGCATCTATTTGTCATTTGGGTTAAACACATAAAACAGATTTACCTCAAAGCACCAGTTATAGCTAAAGTTAACCAAGTTTTATCTACTAGAGTTATAACTGTAAGAACAAAAATCTGATGGTTACATTTTAATACTGCAAACTGACTATATGTATGAAAGCAATCTTCAAAATGATCTGAGTAATGGGTTCATTTCATAAGACATACCACTTTCTCCCCCTGCTAAGTTAGTATGCTGAAGAATAGTCAAGCTCACGTGTCCAAGTCCAGAGCACAATCTTCGCTACACTTCTTGGAATGGTTATATTGAAAACAATGGGGAATTCCAATAGAATATAGTGCAGAGACAAGCTGTTAGAGAACTTTCCTTTCATGCATTATCTAGCTTAGATGTTTGATGGTAGAAATGCACAACAGCAAGTTAGGCAAACTTTAAGAAGTCTGTTTAAACTGTTATCTTGAAGTCCAAGGTTGGAAAAAAGACACTGAATTTAGAAATTAATTATCTATTAAAAATAACCCTTCAACTAAGCAGAAGTGGTCTATGAACTATTTAGTCAAACAGCCCATCACGTTTTGAAATCAAGCACACATTCTCTCTGGATGCACAGCCACTATGCTGCACAGGTCCAAGCCATAACTTGATGCCATTATGAGTTTTGATTGCCAAATCACATTTTGTTACATTCATTCAATCACCCTTCAAGAATGGAGCCTTACTTTTCAAAAAGCTCTTTGACAACCCAGATCATTTCGTAGAAAGATCTTGTGAATTAATGCAGTCACAAACAAATGAAATTATTTAAAGCCAAAATGTTTTTCCATTATTTGAAGAATTTAAGCTTACCTCGGCCAGCTCTGCCTACAGCAACATTATATGTTGGCTCGCCACCTTGACTCTTTGTCCTGATGTCCATTGTGCAGTCACCGTCCACATAGAGGCTATCTCTGATCACAGAGCACTTCTTTGCACCAAGAGTTAGACCGTTGGTGAAGAAACCTTCGCGGTCTTTTCCTACAATCATATCTATTTCTACAGGCTGTCAAAAGAGAAGTCCACAGAATTTTAGACCAAAGTCTCCTACACAGATTCTAAAGAGTCTGTACACACACACACACTGAACTAGTGTAGATTACTGTTCCCTTTTGGCTAGCAGGAAGAGCACAAGGAGCTTCAAAAGTTGGTTCTTTAAGAAAAGTGATGCATAACCAGTCATCAATTTCATACTATTTAAAAGGGCACCCAGTTATGCCTACACCAGTTTGGTGTAGTGGTTAAGTGTGAGGACTCTAATCTGGGAGAACCGGGTTTGATTCCCCCTCCTCCACTTGCACCTGGCTGGATGACCTTGGGCAAGCCGTAGTTCTGATAAGAGCTGTCCTTGAAAAAGAGCAGTTTCTGTCAAGAGCTCTCAGCCCCACCTACCTCACAGGGTGTCTGTTGTGGGGAGGAAAGGGAAAGGAGTTTGTAAGCCGCTCTGAGACACCTTTGGGTAGTGAAGGGCAGGGTATAAATCCAATCTCTTCTTTTCTTCTAATATGTTTTGACCAAACACACAACAGATGAGGAGGGTACTGATCTTGGGTTTGAGTGAACATGAGGGAGAGGACTGACACTAAGGTAATATGCAGGACCACTCCTTGTTAAGGCCAAAGCAATAGAAATAAAGAGAGTCCTGTGTTGGTTCAAATGCAACATGGGTACAAAATGCAGGATCTCTCTATCACTTATATTCACAGGGTTACCTGGAGGTATTTGGGGCGCTATTAAAGCCATGCTTCAAAAAGCAATGTGCAGTCAAGATTATCCTGTGTGTTTTTGCTCTCTAAAGCAGACAGCATAGCATGAGTTCAGATTTCAGTTACTCCAAGGCCATAGTGGCCATTTGGACAGAAACCATAGCTTTTACAGAGTGTGGTTAGGGATGGCAGCAATGCTCCACAGGTCAAGGAAAAATTAAAAAACTCCCTACATAGCAGCAGCTGAGAGATGTAAAGAGTATTAGTCCCATTTCTTTGGGTTAAACTGATTTCTTTGTGTTAAACTGATGTTTCTACAGCAAACATCTTTAGAACAAGGGAAAGCCACAGAAAGGCAGCCTCAAGAAAGTGGGCTCCAACATTGTGTCCTGGAAGAGGCGTCTCCTTCCAAGTAGAAATGCAGAGTCATAGCAGGCCCCAGCCATTCCCAAGCATAAGCCGGGAGCTCGCCTGCCTATCAACATCCCAGCAGCAGTGAGAGAGTCTAGCTCAGCAGCTACCAAGGGCACTGCTTTTTTAACCCGTTCCTAAGCTTGCTGCAGATGAGACAGGCTGAGCCATGCTTCAACACAACTATTGCTCATGGCAGTGCCCATGTTACTCCCCAAAGGGGTAAGTACCGGCAAGACAAGAACTCTCCACCTATTAGTGAAGAGAGCTTGCTTTTCCAAATGAAATTTGCCTGCATAAACAGACAAGTAGGCAGCTGGACAAAATGGTACTTGGGTGAAGGAAGAGGCTGCCAGGAACTAGCTCAATTATAATGCAAGTTCAAATTACACATCATGTATTGGCAAGGAAAGGGCGAGTTTCATACAAAGTTATATAATCCAGACATGCATTTCAACTGCAGGCTGTAAATGCCATATAGCCAAGGGGACGCTTAACATGCAACTGTCTAAAGCCCCCCCCCCCTTATTTTTTTTACGTCCTTACGGATCATACACTTCGTAGAAAGTCCAAGCACGGCCTGGGGTGTGGTGTTGGAAGATGGAAAGAAGAGAAAGAAAAGGAGAGAAAGACTGCAGTGCAGGAAGAGAGGTGATTAATATCGCGGGAAATAAGGGAGAAAAGGAGGGGTTAAAAAAAATCAGCGGCAGTGCGCCATCTTGGAGGTGAAAAACATGGAGCCAGTGGCGAGGAACGGATTCACAAAAGCCTCCTACGCTAGATTCGTAAATCCCTACCCAGCAGCGAGGATCTGACCGAAGGGAATCCTACGCAAAGTCTCTCCAAGAATCCTCCTCCCCCTTCCCCGTGCCCGGCCTGCCCCCCACCCTCCTGCCGGCTACTGCTTGACTCCCACCCCCCAACGCAGGCAATTAGAAGCAGCCCCAAGCTGCTGGCATACAAAATGGTCCCCCCTAAGGAACCTCGGCCTAGGGACATCCCCGTCCCAACCCAGCATGCCGCTGAAGCTAGGCAGGGAGCCCCAAGGTAACCCCTGCAGCAGAGCTGGGAGGCGAGCCTTTCCCCGCCCGGCTCTCTCTTCCCCACTCCACTCGAGGACGATAAAGGGCCGCTCTTTCGTGGGTGGGGTGGAAGCGCCCCAACAGCTCCAGGCCCAACTAACACAGGCTGCCTTCTTCCCCCAGGAGCCTTCCTATTAAAGGCGCTTTTACGGCCGTCATAATCTTCAGGGGGGCAGCAACGAGAGAGAGAGAGAGAGAGAGAGAAGCTGGCTGCCATTGACACCCATCCGCCTCTCTTCTCCCAGCGGGGTTTCGCCGGAGATTCTCCTTCCCCCGTTCCCTTCCCCCCACCACCACCTTTAGAGGGCTACGGAAGGCTCACAGCGTGTTGCCTGAAAGGGAGGGGGGGGAAGCAAGCACAAGCTCTGGGGGGGGGGGACCCCGCACCCCTCTCCTTTTCCTCCAGCTCCGAGATTTCTTGCCTTTCCTCGGCTCCCCGCCCACCTCTGGCTTCTCAGTGGAGGCAGGACCTCCAGCCTGCCTTTGCAGAAGGGTCCTTTTACGTGGAAATGCACAAGGCCACACAAGGCAGCGATGCCCACTCCTACTGAGGTGGGAGGGGTGTGTGTGTGTGTGGGAGATAAAAAAGCAAGCAGGGGGTGAAATGCCCCCCACCCCAAAACATGCTGTGTGCCTCTAAGCGAGGAAGGAGAAGGAAAGGAGAAAGGGCTGCGCTTGGAATTCCACGCGTGGGGTTAGAGACCGCTTTGGAACTCCCAGGCTCTGCTGCCCCCTCCCCACTCCTCCCAAGACGGTCCCTTTCCCTTATTAGGGGCCATGAAACGCCCCCCCCCCCTTCAGTGCCTGCCCGCCGGTGGACACCCCCCCCCCGGCTCCCTTCCCAACCCAGCGGCTCTCTTCTCTTCCCTCCCCCCCCCTCCTCCCCGGGATCCGCGGGCCGGTCCCCTTCCTCCCTCCCTGGCTCCCCTTACCGTAATGCTCTGGAAGATGCCCCCGGCCGTCGCTGCCCAGACGTACTTGGCGTCACAGTAGCCGACAATGGCGGCCTCCTGGCAGCAGCCATCGCACATCAGGTTATCCACGTAGCTCTGCCAGCCTGCCATCTTCGGCTTGCGCCTGGCGGAGGGGAGCCGGGACTACGGCAGGCAGGCGAAGGCGGGAGGACGGGCGGGAGGAAAAAGGAAGAGGAGGGAGAGGGAGGCTGAGAGGAAGGAGGGGAGAGAGAGAGAGAAAAAGAGAGAAGGGACGAGCAGCACCCGCGGACGGAGAGGGAAGGAAGGAAGGAAGGAAAGAGGGAGGGAAGGACGGCGGCGGCAGTGGCGGCGGCGGCGACGAGCGAGCAGGCAGGCGGGGGAGGGGACCGAGGGGGGTGGGGCCACCTGAGGCGCTGGTGGCCGCAACTGCCGTGATGGCTGCTTGCTTGGGTTTGGGGTGGCTGGGGGTTTTTTTTTAATGGGCGCTCCCCTGCAGGAGAAGCCAGGCCACTGGACAGCGCCCGACCGACCCCGCAGCGGCAGCGAACGGCTTTGAGGGGAACTAGAAAGAGGGAGGGCGGCGGAAAGGGAGAAAACCGCCGCGTTCGCCGTGCGGTAAAGACGGCCGAGTATCCCTCCGCCGCCGGCTGCTGAGGCTACCGGCGTGTGGTGGCTTGAGCGGAGGGATACGTCAGCGGGTCGCGTCGTGCCTGTGACCGGCCGGGAGGCGCGGAGAAGGAAGGAGGAGGGGACGGGTCGCTGCTGCTGCTGCTGCTGCTGCTGCTGCTGCTGCTGCTGCTGCGAGGGGAACTGCCGCTGCTGGACACCAGCTGGGCTCCCTCTTCGCGGTGGGCTTCGGCGGGTGAGGATTTGCGGCAGCTGCAGAGAGCCGAGGGTATGTGCGCGGGGTGGGATGGGATGGGATGGGGAAGAATGTGCTTCTTAGGGATGGTTCAGTTGTGTCCTCAGCATCTTCGTTTGCTGCCCCGTGTTCCGCTTAGGGGTTGCCCCCTTTTCCTTTACTCTGTCTCCCTCTCGCAGCTGCGCGGGAAGTCGAAATGCCCCACTTTTGCGGGATGACGATGCGGTGATGGAGGAAGTTTCACCTGTTGAGTTGTCCACCTGCAGCATTCAGAGCACAGGAAGCCCTGCCGTGAGAGAGGAAGAAAACCTGCTTAACATTTGTTTAGCAGGAAGGATGCAGTCTTGGACATGAGTGCCTGGGACTGGGAGTAAGTCCCTTGGAACTCACCAGCTCCGCTTGAGGATGACACTGCTCAGGATCCGACTTGCCAGAGTGCTTGCTCCTAGCTTGGTTGCAAGTTTGTGCGGAACAGAGATTTGTATTTGTTAGGTGATCGTTTCTTAGCCTGGTCTCAAAAACACGTTTATTTGGAAGCAGTTGATTTAATGTTAAATCTCTGTCGTTCACTGCAACCCTTAAATACGTTTACTCAGAGGTAAATTTTGGATCGGGAGGACACTTAACCCTTCCCTTGCTACAAATGTCCCCCCCCCATCACATTTTACTACCAGTGGCTCCCCCCTTCCCAGTTTTCAAGTGTGTGTTTTCTTTACACGTGTGTATGTGAAAGGAAACGTTTGTAGTGGAGGTTATTTGAAGTAAAGAGACGGCCAGGGAAAGGGTTAAGCAACTTTCCCCTCCTTTGTGGCTTCCCTGTTTTAAGTTTCCCTGTTCCCAAATAAGTTTTCATTTTTGAAAAAAAACAGCTGGGGCACTCTTATACGTGATCACACATACTACTTAGCCCCTTAATAACTAAGCTGCCTGAACTCTCAGTGCTACTCATGATAGCCAGTAGCATAGTATACTATGTATATTGATGTTGTGGAATCATGATGAAGTGCAGCTCTGAAGCTCTGACCGTTTTTTAGAGCTGAAATTATTCCTAATGATTCAGTAGCCCGCTCGTTGCAGCGGCAACCGTAGAAGCTCAGTTATTTTGTGGATTTTGGCTACGGTTGCTTTCTGCCTGCTGCTTTTCATAAGGCTCTCAGAGCTGGAATGTTCGCTGCTGAATATTTTAAGAAAGGACTGAAGTGTACAAAGCCTTCAGTAAAAAGCTGTTATTCTTATCTAGTAACTTTTTTCAGTGACTTTGTAGTTTAATGTGGATGGTCTGAGCGTACTTAACATTATAGCATTGCTCAACCTAAGCTGATGTAGACCTGAGAAGCACCTGGATAGGAGCCTTCTGTAAGCCACTCTGAGCTTTTTAAACTAAGTCCGAAGATGTAAGTAACTAATGTAGCATAATGGGGAAGAGTGTGAGAGCTGGGAAGCCCCAGCAACCCAGCTGAAATATGTGGACAATACTGTTGTAAAGATTACTGGGATAACCTGACAAAGAATGCTCTGAAATTCACATGTCAGGTGCTTTGGAAGATGTTTGGCTTTATGTCTGATTTGTCAGGCACCGAATATGTGTCAATGGATGGCTGCCTTTAGCAGTCTTTGCTAACAGTCATCTTGAGAGATGTCCTTCATTTTGCCACAGAATAGGCAGGAAGGAAAAGGTGAGTGTTCTCTAACAAGAAAAAAAAGAAACAGCCTTATCTAGGAGACAAAAAAGCAACTTGATGAAATACTCAGAATGCATCAGGCAGGTAAGAATCTGGAATGCTTCGGTAAAGAAATAAAACACAGTTTTGTTTAGCAGTTTCTGAGATGTGCCTCTTGATTGACCCCAAAGTAAATGCTATATTATCCTTCTTGTACTTGCTTCTGCTAAGGGAGAGTTTTAGCAGCTAATTACTATGGACTTGATCCAGTCAGCTGCCCCTACAGAGAGTTCCATAGAGCTCAATAGACACTGTTCTTGTCTCTACCCCCCCCACACCACACACACATCCATGAGTGTTTGTGTGCATGCAGGCAAGCAGCACAAACAAGCATTGCAAGGAATGGGAAGCCTATGTATGCCTTTGATACACCCAACCAGCCCTTCCTCTATGTATCAGTCAGGGGCTTCGGAGTCACGAATAAGTTGTATGGTAGATGGAGGAAGAGTTGGATGTGGATATGGGAAGTGCATGTGTGCATGCATTCATCCCCTTGCACAGCTTGCAAACATGCTCCTTTTGTAAGGGATGGGGAAACATGGCTCGGTTGAACCCTCTGGACGTTGCATCTGCTCTCAACTAAACTGAGCTTTACTTTTATTTGTATTACGCCTCCACTGACCCAGTTGCACTTTTTCATCTTTTTATTAACCGCCTTAAGGGGTTTCTTTCCATTGAAAAAGCAGCTCAAGATGATTAACAAAAGACAAGTGGGTCAGTGGAAGGGTCCTTGTTCTCCTTCCATCTCCTGTAGAGTATCTGGCATAATGTTAATTTCCTCTGTCTGCCTCCTCCTGCTGTTCTTCAGAGAGGGTGACAGACAGAAGCTGCAGCAACAGCTCTGTGCCCTGCAGCATAATTGGGAAGAGATGTTCCTAGAAGGAGAGCTGGAGGAAACCCAGAATTTCATGTACAGAACTGTAAAATCCAGTCATACTTCAAATCCCATCCAAGGGAACCACCTACTCTCCCTTTTATTGAGACTCTCAAGAAGAGGGAAAGGAAGCAGTGGAAGCCAATGGGGAGGGAATACCAAAATGGTTGAATGGATGGTCCCCTACAAGTTAATGCGTGAACCCATCTTTTGGAAAGGTGGCATGGGAAAGGATGGAGAGGCTGTGTCTGTATCACAATAGTTCTTTCTAATTCAGCTTATCAATATAGTTATTTCAGCAATGCCATTGGAAAGGTACTTTTTTAGGGGTTTTAATCTTTGGCCATGCCAGAACTGTGTGTGTGCTTCTATAAGGATAATTGCATGTAAACATTTTGAATGTGTTTTGTTTATTTTGGATTTCAGTTCTGGATATCATTATATATTGTTAAAGTACAAAGAAAAGTCTTTTCTAAAGAATCATTTTTGAAAGCATGCTTCTGCAAGCTGCTATTCAAGTAACCTACTTCAAAGAGAAAACAAGCTATCCTGAGAGATAGAGTATACATAAGTGGTTTGTCCAAAGGAACACAGAAATGCATAAAAGAATACTTGCCCAGAAGCAGTTTTGAGAGTGATGCCAAGATCCAGTTCATGAGAGTGGTGAGATCATTGCACATGTACAGTATAGTGTAACAGGCTATTTACAAAAGAAAACCAAAATCAGAGCAATATACCTTTTACTAACTGGAGGTCAATACATGTATGTGCTTGTTTAAGCCATTCAGGAATGGTATTGTGATGCTAATTGTTCTAACGTTAAAAAACACTTTAAAAGAGAACTACAGATTCTGACATTTGATAGAGAGACGCTAACAAAGGAATGCAGGAAATTCCACACTTATTGAACTATTTTTGTTACTGCTTTTCATTTAATAACAAAATGTTTTCAAGATGAGTGTAGAGGAACTATTTTAGAGCTGGGGTCTCCTTGCCAGTTCTACATGACTAGTAAGGGAAGTAAAAAATTCCAAGATTGAACTCCATTTCACAAATAGTTTCCTTTTTACACTCATCCATACACACACAAGAATAGGGACATGCAAATTTAAACTTTGCCCTACCCAGCTTTAAGGTAATTCTAGAAGTGTCAGTTCTCTTCCCAATAAAGACAGGCAAAAATGTTAAACCATTGGTTAGCTCCAGCAGCAGTTTTTTTCAAGAGCCTTGTTTGAAATTGTCATTGAAACCTAAAGCAAGTTTCCAGTTTTCTTAGTTGCAGAAATTATACATCAGAAGCAGACATTAGGCGCTTGAGTAACCCATGTTTCTACAAGCCTTTGAATGAATTCACCTTTTGTCTCCATTTAATGATATGGTTAGCCTAGTGGAATTATGAGGGCTGCAGTTTGACAGTGCAATCCTAAACAGTTATACCCTTCTAAACCCATGGATTTCAATGGATATAGAAAGGTATAACTCTGTTTGGGATCGCAGTGCAGTTTTTCAGCAACATTGGTTTCTGTAAGCTGTGGGAGTTGAACTAAACTCAGCCCATACAATTATTATTATTGTATTCCTGACTTCCAAGAATTTCCCTCCACATTTAATCTTCCCTATGTCCCTATAAACTAAACTCAGCTGAGAGATGCTGATTGCCCCAGTGTCTCTCAGTGGGCTTTATGAATGAATGAATGAATGAGGATTGAGCTAGAGAATCCCTAGTACTAATCTAGCACTGTATCAGGCTTCAGAGGCATCCTATGAGGATGGGAACTGCATGTAGACACAGGGGAAGGAGACATTTTGTTTCCTCACTGGAAGAGAGAGAGTGGTGGGGATGATAGTTCTATTTCCTGCATTTTCATAGCTCTGCATTCACATTAGTTCACTCAGATGAAGATCAAGAAAAAGTGAACTAAACTTTGAGCAAATTTGGAATTGGAAAAGGCTTAATGCCCTGCTACTCACTGTTACATTGAAAGTAGCCATATATAAGCCAGGATCTGACTGGTATGTTCTAAATTCCCCTAGAGGTAGGCAAAGTAATGGTCAAGGAGATGGTGGACAACACAGAGAAGCAGGAGCCATTGACCCTTTTATTTTCCCCTTTATCCGCGAAATTGTTAAAGGGAGGAGAGTAAGGAAATGTTTGAGTAGTCCAG